TAGCAGATCAGTTGCACAACTTCAGCGCTTTCCAGTAGCTTCTTCCTGCACAGTATTTTCAGTCAACTGCTCCCACAAACTGCAGTCACTCTGGAACTCTTTTACAGACACTTGAGCACATGCCCGGCCATTGTCAGTTTTACCATTGTCTTTCCCCCAGTCTAGATGACATTACAAATTTACCACAGCACACGGTTATATCTTGTCTTAGCAGACAGGTTCTTTTAATCAATTACATAGAGCCTTCGACGAACAGCATCACAGCACAAGGAGAGAGAATACACTGTACATGACTTCCTTATATACAATTCTATACAACTACACATAGCAATCTCTGATTGGTTCCCAACTCATTGACTTAACTCAGACCCCGGATTACATCATTCACAATCACCTGAACTAGGCCAGAACACATTCCCCAAATGAAGTTCTATATACAGTTAATGCATGGCTCAGCATTTCCAATAGAAGCCTATTAGCAGTGCATGACTCAGCTATATTACATGACAATACACTGTAAAACCTGACAGCTTGAATGGTTTTATCAATCTAGTACCTGCCCTCAAGCCTAGAGGAGAGGTGGTAACACTTTCAAACCAGGAACAGCAAAAAAATCAATTTTGATTACGTATTTATTTCTGTATGTAATTTTTGTTACATACATATTTATTTATTTATGGTATTTATAGCCCACCTTTCTCAGCCATATGGTATTATTATTATCATCATCACCATCATCCTCACCATCATTCATGGTAAAATGTGTCCTGTACCTTGCGTGATGGAGCAAACTGAACTGAAACAAGGTGTATGGCACGATACCATTGCGTGTGGCCATAAATTGGTTGCCTCTAATGCACTTACCATGCTTAGAAAGACTAGAGAACGCCTGACCAAGATACAAAGCAGAGGGTAAGCCAGTTAATAAATTGGACCTTCCTTCCGCATGGAGATTCACTGCACGATCCCAAGGGAAGATCAATGATAGGTAATAACCCGAGGCAGAATTGCTGTATTGATTTGCTTCCTATTCCTAGCAACTGACCTCCCTCAGCCTGCTTCTAGAAAAAGAACTCCAGATTGATTCAGAGCATCACATAAGAAGTCACTGATATTAATTCAGCACAATTGTAAAATTAATACATCTTGATACCACTTTAACAGCCATGGCTCAATGCTATGGAATCCCGGAGTTGCACTTCAACGAGGTCTTGACATTTCTCTGTCAAGCAGTGCTGGTGCCTCACTGAACTACAACTCCCAGGATCTCACAGCATTGAGTCATAGCAGTCAAAGTGGTCTCAAACCCCATTATAGGTTTGTGTTATCCTAAGCCAGACATCACTAGAAGGCACATAACAGCCATCTGTTGTGACTCAGCTGGAACCACTGAGTGTCTCTGATGAGGATGATGGGAGTCAGGTTCACAGTCTGGTTCAAAATGTCCCAGTTATAGACAGTGAAGAAGTGCAGTTTCCCACAGCAGGGCATAAGAGTGTTGATAGTGAAACTAGCCAGGTGCAGATTGACTCAGAGAAGGAGGACAGTTCTCAGCCTGATAATGAGCAAGAAGGGAAACAGGCTGACACTAACGAACAGACTGACCTTGACGAAAAGGGAACCTTAAATCGGGCTGACCGTTTGGAATTCAGAGTTCGAAGGAGTGTGAGAATAGCCAACAAGAAGGAGGCCAGAGGCCAAAGAAACGCTTTCATGTGTTGCAAAGGGTATTAAGCAGTGTGTTTGAGACCAAACCTTTGTCAAAGCAACTTTTTGTTTAACCAAGAAGCTTGCCTTTGCTTGTCTGGATTATCTTGCAGTTCTTGTGTTCATGGTTTCAGGACTTTGTCATGTTCTCTTGGGTTTTTGCTTTGCTGGTGCCTTTTTGGACCGCCCCTTCTATCCTGACTTTTAGGAAACAGGTGAAGACGTGGTTATGGAGACAGGCTTTTGATGAGTGAGACAACACCCTAAGACATGGATGAAGGGACTGATGGAGTCATCGCCTGAAGCCTTCCTTCCTTCCTTCCTCCCTCCCTCCCTCCCTCCCTCCCTCCCTCCCTCCCTCCCTCCCTCCCTCCCTTCCTTCCTTCCTTCCTTCTTACCTACCCACCTACCTGCCTGCCTGCCTGCTTCACTGTCCCTAATGCTGGCTTCTTTAATTTCCTCGTATTCCATCTCCTGACCTAGTTCCACGGAAAAGAAAACAACGCTGCCAGCTCTAATCACCTTTTAGAAAACACGCAAAGCAGGCCAGGGAAGTGCAGATGGCAGGATCCAATCCCCTTAATATATTTTTTTCCTGCAAATATAACCTACTTAAATGTGACACAGTGACCCCTCTTCACATCCAGTTTCTACGGGAGCACACTACTCCATATTTGCATGGAGAAGTACCTTTCAGGTTAGGAAGGCACCTGAAAAAGCCTGGTTCCTCAGTCATATGCACACAAGGATGGAGGTAAGGGCATCTGCCCTGCCCCCAAAAGCCTTTTTTGCTGCCCCCCAAAGCCTTTTTTGCTGCCCCCAAAAGCCTTTTTGCTGTCCTGTATTGGGGTGCAATGGGGGGAAGAAGGAGAAGGAGGGAAATGATGCATTGGCAGTGGTTTCCTCAACCTTTGCTCCTGATATCGAACAAGTGCTGCTGGCCCAAGTAGGCAACGGAGAACTGCGGAACTCCCTGCTGCAGGTCGGATCAGCTTAAAGCAGGGAGTTCTGGGTTGTTCCTTCTCATTCCTCCAGTTGTTTTAAACTCCAGCTCCCAGAATCCCTGGCCATTGGACAAACTGGCAGTGGTTTCTGGGAGTTGAAGTCCAAAACAACCGGAGACCTAAAGTTGGGGAATCGTTGCAGCCACCTCTCCACCAAAGTCAATACTGACACTGAAATGTTGTTAATAGCAAAAAATTGGAAGGAAAAAAAAGAAATTCAATTAGAATAATGGTATAGGGAAATTTGGAATATAGCGATTAATGATAAGCTAACTTGCAATATTAAAATTAAAAGGGGAATATGTAAACAAACAGACTTTTGGAAAATATGGGGAAAATTTATCGAGTATGTGTTTAATGAGGGAAAGGGGTATAAATAAGCCAGCAAGAGAAACAATGATATTTTGGAATGGTGAAACAACATGAGTTGGTTGGTCCTGGTGAAGGAGGGGGCACAAACTAAGGGGAAGGGGAAGGGGGGGGGAGTATCAAAGAGAAACAACAGGAATGGACCATGGTCAATATCCAAAGAGTGCTCATCATTATGTTTCCAAAACAGAATAAGATTGAATGATGGGACATGTCTAGAGTTTGCATGTTGTATATATGTTACGATCATATTGTATTTGGAGAGTGAAGAATGAGTGACTTGATTATAAGGATTGGTCAGATTCTAATTATTATTTTTTGTTTTGTAAATTGAGAAAAGTCTGAATTGATTTGAGAGAAGTCTGAATTGATTTATAGTTAGTTGGAAGAAGCAAAGACCACCAGCATTGAAGCGATGGTCCTCCAACATCAACTCCGCTGGGCTGGCCACGTTGTCCGGATGCCTGACCACCGTCTCCCAAAGCAGTTGCTCTACTCCGAACTTAAGAACGGAAAACGGAACGTTGGAGGACAGGAAAAGAGATTTAAAGATGGGCTCAAAGCCAACCTTAAAAACTCTGGCATAGACACTGAGAACTGGGAAGCCCTGGCCCTTGAGCGCTCCAGCTGGAGGACAGCTGTGACCAGCAGTGCTGCAGAATTTGAGGAGGCACGAGTGGAGGGTGAAAGAGAGAAACGTGCCAGGAGGAAGGCGCGTCAAGCCAACCCCGACCGGGACTGCCTTCCACCTGGAAACCAATGCCCTCCTCACTGCGGAAGAAGATGCAGAGCAAGAATAGGGCTCCACAGCCACATACGGACCCACAAGGAAATCCATAATGGAAGACCATCTTACTCGTCCAACGAGGGATCGCCTAAGTAAGTAAAAGTAAGTTGGAATTTGTAGTAGTTCTAGAGTATAGGAATAATTTAGTGATAAAGGTATGTTTACTTAATGTGTTTATGTTAAATTGAATAAACGCAATAAAAATAATTTTAAAAAAAGAAACTGAAATGCAACACCGCCTGAACTCTGCGAGTGCAGCATTTTTCCAAATGAAGCAGAGAGTAGCATTGTTGTTGATGATGTTTACATCCTGCTTTTATCTCAAGTGGCTCACAACATTAAAGAAAACAACAACAGTGCAACTGTAAATCTACAATATAAGAACGTTGAAATAGAAATAAACAACCAGTCATTTTAAATCCTCCAAAACAGTTAAAGTAATTAAAACACAAGGCAGCAGCACCCCTTGGTTCATCTTTCAATACTGAAAAGGAATGTTTGAGACTGCCGCTTCCGCTTTCTGGCTTCATTTCCGCTCCCTTGGCAGCCACCTCTCCACCAAAGTCAAGATTGACACTGAAATACAACACCACCTGAGCTCTGCGAGTGCAGCATTTTTCCGAATGAAGCAGAGAGTGTTTGAGGATCGGGACATCCATAGGGAGACCAAAGTGCTTGTTTATAAAGCTATTCCCCTCCCAACCCTGCTATATGCCTGCGAAACGTGGTCTACAGACATCACATGCAACTCCTGGAACGATTCCACAGTGCCTGGAGCAAACTTATATACAGTCCATGTTTCACAGCCATATAGCAGGGTTGGGAGGGGAATAGCTTTATAAACAAGCACCTTGGTCTCCCTACAGATGTCCCGGTCCTCAAACACACTGCTTCATTTGGAAAAATGCTGCACTCGCAGAGCTCAGGTGGTGTTGTATTTCTGTGTTGGTGTCTATTAGACAGATGGCAAGCTGTTTAGCCTCAGCAGACTGAAAGCCAAAACCAAGGTCACAACAACATCTGTTATAGAACTCCAGTATGCTGATGACAATGTTGTCTGTGCGCATTCAGAAGAAGACCTACAAGCCTCTCTAAACACCTTTGCAGAAGCATACGAGAAACTCGGCCTGTCATTGAACATCGAGAAAACCCAAGTGCTGTTCCAGCAGTCACCAGCCAACCCCTCTCCAAATCCAGAAATACAGCTAAATGGTGCAACATTGGAAAATGTGGACCATTTCCGCTCCCTTGGCAGTCACCTCTCCAGGACTATATTAACAAGGATTGTATTTATTTGTTTGTTTATTTATTTACTTCACTTATATATTTATTTATTTATTTATTTACTTTACTTGTAGACCGCAGTTTCTCAGCCCAACAGGCGACTCAACGCGGTTTACAACAAGGATAAGAATCAATCAACGATATACAATTTAAAACCATAAGAGCATAATATACAGTATTAACACAACAATAAACAACACAATGCATCTCATAACTAGAGTCATGATCCAATTCGTCGTTGATATTACCATTCCTGTAATCATACCGCTTTTCTCAGCTCTTAGGTGACTCAAAGCGGTTAACAACAGCAAAAATTCAATGCCAAACATCATAAAAACAATTAAGGGACAGTTAAAACAGTAGCATAATAAACAGTTAAGCATCAATATAACAAATCATTAGAAAAAGAAAAAGATCTTGGAGTCCTCGTGGACAACAAGATAAACATGAGCCAGGAATGTGATGTGGTGGCAAAAAAAGCCAATGGGATTTTGGCCGGCATCAATAGGAGCATAGTGTCTAGATCTAGGGAAGTCATGCTACCCCTCTATTCTGCTTTGGTTAGACCACACCTGGAATATTGTGTCCAATTCTGGGCACCACAATTCAAGAGAGATATTGACAAGCTGGAATGTGTCCAGAGGAGAGCGACTCAAATGATAAAAGGTCTGGAGAACAAGCCCTATGAGGAGCGGCTTAAGGAGCTGGGCATGTTTAGCCTGAAGAAGAGAAGGCTGAAAGGAGATATGATAGCCATGTATAAATATGTGAGAGGAAGCCACAGGGAGGAGGGAGCAAGCTTGTTTTCTGCTTCCCTGGAGACTAGGACGCAAGGGAACAATGGCTTCAAACTACAAGAGAGGAGATTTCATCTGAACGTGAGGAAGACTGTGAGAGCCGTTCAGCAGTGGAACTCTCTGCCCCGGAGTGTGGTGGAGGCTCCTTCTTTGGAAGCTTTTAAACAGAGGCTGGATGGCCATCTGTTAGGGGTGCTTTGAATGCAATATTCCTGCTTCTTGGCAGAATGGGGTTGGACTGGATGAGGGCCCAGGAGCTCTCTTCCCACTCTAGGATTCTAGGATTCTATGATTCTATGATAGTGTCTCATCAGTAGAATCAAAATCCAATAAGAGATAAATAAGAGGATTTTTGACAGATATTGAGGAAAGATTATATTTTTTGTTGGAACTATAGAAAAAACTGTGAAAGGAGAAAGAATAGAAGTCAGCCTTTTTTTGGTATATTTTTCTTTTCCTTTCTTTTCTATTTCTCTCCTCCCTTCCCTTTCTCTCCGGCACTGTTTCTATTCAGTATGTGCATTGTGTTGTATTGTGATTTTATGCTATTTTTTTGTAAAATGAAAAAATATTACTTTTGTTTTAAAAAGATGACTTTGTTGGAAGAGTCGTGATGCTTCTGTCCTGGAGAAGGGGGCGGGGCTTCTGCCTGGAGTGGGCGTGGCTGTGAGCTCCCAGCCCCGCCCCTTTTGTGTCTGGCCCCGCCCCCTGCTCAGGGATGTTGTGATAAAAGCCCAGGTGAGTGAGGAAGAAGGGGATTTGGGGTGCCATGGAGGAGGAGGGAGTCGGGGAGGGTCCCGGGCGGAGCTGCGCCATGAGTGGGGATGGGGGCTTGCTTCCTCCTCCCCTGGGGGCCATCACCCTGGAGCAGCTCCAAGGGGACTTCGAGGAGGAGGAAGAGGAAGAGGAAGAAGGGTGCCAAGAGGAGGACAGGTTGCTTGCCTACTGGCAAGGGGTGGGCAGGGGACACCAGGTGGACGTCCCCCCAGGTGAGAGACAAGAACGGGGAGGGAGGCTTCTCTAGGGAAGGTGGGATGGACATCTGTCGGGAGGGCTTTGATGGTGCTTCCCTTGCAGGAAGTCACACAGAAGAGGGTTGGACTAGATGGTCATTGGGGGTCCCTTCCCACTCTAGCTGGTCTCTGCGGGTCCCTTCCCACTCTATGATTCTGTTGTTGTTGTTCTGATTATTATTATTATTATTATTATTATTATTATGTAGAGACTTGGTGGCCATCTGTTTGGGGTGCTTTGATGGTGCTTTCCCTGCATGAAGTCAGAAAGAAGGGGGTTGGACTAGATAGTCTCTGAGGGTCCCTTCCAACCCTAGGATTCTATTATTATTATTATTATTATTATTATTATTATTATTATTATGTAGAGACTTGGTGGCCATCTGTTGGGGGTGCTTTGATGGTGCTTCCCTTGTAGGAAGTCACACAGAAGAGGGTTGAACTAGATGGCCTTTGGGGGTCCCTTCCCACTCTAGGATTCCTATTATTATTATTATTATTATTAAGCAGAGACTTAGTGGCCATCTGTTGGGGGATGCTTTGATGGTGCTTTTCCTGCAAGAAGTCACACAGAAGAGGGTTGGACTAGCTAATCTCTGAAGGTCCTTTTCCCTTCATGAAGTCACACAAAAGAGGGTTGGACTAGATAGTCTTTGGGGGTCCCTTCCCATTCTAGGATTCTATTATTATTATTATTAAGCAGAGACTTGGTGGCCATCTGTTGGGGGTGCTTTGATGGTGCTTTCCTGGCATGAAGTCACACAAAAGAGGGTTGGACTAGCTGGTCTCTGAGTCTCCCTTCCCACTCTAGGATTCTGTTACTATTATTACAAAGGCTGGATGACTATCTGTCAGGGATGCTTTGGTGGTGCTTTCCCTGCATGAAGTCACCAAGAAGAGGGTTGGACTAGATGGCTTTAAGGGTCCCTTCTCACTCTGGGATTCTATTATTATTATTATTATTATTATTATTATTATTATTATTATTATGATGTAGGGACTTGGTGGCCATCTGTTGTGGTTGCTTTGATGGTGCTTTCCCTGCAAGAAGTCACAAAGAAGAGGGTTGGACTAGATGGCCTTTAGGGGTCCCTTTCCCACTCTAGGATTCTATTATTATTATTATTATTATTATTATTATTATTATTATTATTATGTAGGGACTTGGTGGCCATCTGTTGTGGTTGCTTTGATGGTGCTTTCCCTGCAAGAAGTCACCAAGAAGAAAGAGGGTTGGACTAGATGGCCTTTAGGGGTCCCTTTCCCACTCTAGGATTCTATTATTATTATTATTATTATTATTATTATTATTATTATTATTATTAGATAGGCTGGGTGGTCATCTGTTTGGGGTGCTTTGATGGTGCTTTCCCTGCATGAAGTCACCAAGAGGGTTGGACTAGATGGCCTTTAGGGGTCCCTTCCCACTCTAGGATTCTTATTATTATTATTATTATTGTTATTAAGCAGAGACTTGGTGGCCATCTGTTGGGGATGCTTTGATGGTGCTTTCCCTGCATGAAATCACAAAGAAGAGGGTTGGACTAGATGACCTTTAAGGGTCCCTTCCCACTCTAGGATTCTATTATTTTTATTATTATTATTAAGTAGAGACTTGGTGGCCATCTGTTGGGAGTGCTTTGATGGTGCTTTCCTTGCAGGAAGTCACACAGAAGAGGGTTGGACTAGATGGCCTTTGGGGGTCCCTTCCTACTCTAGGATTCCTCTTATTATTATTGTTATTAAGCATAGACTTGGTGGCCATCTGTTGGGGATGCTTTGATGGTGCTTTCCCTGCATGAAGTCACACAGAAGAGGGTTGGACTAGATGGCCTTTAGGGATCCCTTCCCACTCTAGGATTCCTCTTATTATTATTATTATTATTATTATTATTATTATTATTATTGTTATTAAGCAGAGACTTGGTGGCCATCTGTTGGGGATACTTTGATGGTGCTTTCCCTGCATGAAGTCACACAGAAGAGGGTTGGACTAGATGGCCTTTAGGGGTCCCTTCTAACTCTAGGATATTATTGTTATTATTATTTATTAAGCGGAGACTTGGTGGCCATCTGTTAGGGATGCTTTGATGGTGCTTTCCCTGCATGAAGTCACACAGAAGAGGGTCGGACTAGATGGCCTTCAGGGGTCTCTTCCCACTCTAGGATTCTAATTATTATGATTCTTATTATAAAGCAGAGACTGGATGTCCATCTGCTGGGGGTGCTTTGATGGTGCTTTCCCTGCATGAAGTCACACAGAAGAGGGTTGGACTAGATGGCCTTTAAGGGTCCCTTTCCACTCTAGGATTCTAATTATTATGATTATTATTATTAAGCAGGAACTGGATGTCCATCTGCTGGGGGTGCTTTGATGGTGCTTTCCCTGCATGAAGTCATAAAGAAGAGGGTTGGACTAGATGGCCTTTGGGGGTCCCTTCCCACTCTAGGATTTGGTTATTATTATTATTATTATTATTATTAAGTAGGAACTTGGTGGCCATCTGTTGGGAGTGCTTTGATGGTGCCTTCCCGGCATGAAGTCACAAAGAAGAGGGTTGGACTAGCTAATCTCTGAGAGTCTTTTTCCCCTCATGAAGTCACAAAGAAGAGGGTTGGACTAGATGGCCTTTAGGGATCCCTTCCCACTCTAGGACTTGGTGGTTATTATTATTATTATTATTATTATTATTATTATTATTATTATTATTAAGCAGAGACTTCATGGTCATCTGTTGGGGATGCTTTGATGGTGCCTTCCCTGCATGAAGTCACACAGTAGAGGGTTGGACTAGATAGCCTTTGGGGATCCCTTCCCACTCTAGCTGGTCTCTGAGGGTCCCTTCCCACTCTAGGATTCTATTGTTGTTGTTCTTCTTCTTCACTCCCTCTGAGGATGCTTGCCATAGATGCAGGCAAAACGTCAGGAGAGAATGCCTCTAGAACATGGAAATAGGGCCCGAAAAAACCTACAACAACCCAGTGATTCCGGCCATGAAAGCCTTCGACAATACAATAATAGCAATGTATGTTCTCGTCTCAGACATGGCGGAGCCGATCCAGCAACTGACCAGGAATAACCAGCAGCAGGACAGGGAAACAGTCCCCTTCACTGTGATAAACCGCAAAGAGAAGGTAATCTCTTCACTGATGTGCCTTATTATTATTATTATTATTATTATTATTATTATTATTATTATTATTATTATTTGCTGTTATTGGTGTTGCTGTGTGCCTCCAACACTGCAACACAGTGGTTCTGAATCATATCACATCATAGAACAATCTAAAAATTACACTGTATTACAAGATTTTTGTTCCTGCGTTATGAATGTCTTTTTCTGATTGGTTCAATCATAAAAACACGGGAAAAGTTTGTTAAACTGCAAAAAACTTTTGTCTTTGCAAGCGGGACATCCTGCAGCAGCACCTTCGGCTCTCGTTTTGCAATGATAATAGAGGCTCAAACAATCCAACACAGTTTCTGGCAGCCCCAGAGACAAAGTTTCTGGAGTGTAGTGGCCACTTTGCAAGCAAGGGCTGCAGGAATAAACAGGAAATAACACTTTCAAACCAGGAACAGAAGAAAATATCAAATTTTGTTACTTAGCGTTATCATTTCAATCAGGGAAGCGTGCTCACTCCATCCATGTTCAACATCTACACAAATGACCAGCCACTGCCAGAAGGGACAGAGAGTTTAATCTATGCTGATGATCGTGCCATCACCGCTCAAGCAGGGAGCTTTGAGATGGTAGAACAGAAGCTCTCCGAAGCTCTAGGTGCCCTTACCGCCTACTACAGGGAAAACCAGCAGATCCCTAATCCATCTAAAACACAGACATGTGCTTTTCATCTCAAGAACAGACAAGCATCCCGAGCTCTGAGGATTATTACCTAGGAAGGAATCCCACTGGAGCATTGCAGCGCACCCAAATACCTGGGTCTCACCCTGGACCGTGCTCTAACCTCCAAGAAGCACTGCCTGAATATCAAGCAAAAAGTGGGTGCTAGAAGCAATACCATATGAAAGCTGACTGGCACAACCTGGGGATCACAACCAGACACAGTGAAGACATCTGCCCTTGTGCTATGCTACTCTGCTGCTGAGTACGCATGCCCAGTGTGGAACACATCTCACCACGCCAAAACAGTGGATGTGGCTCTTAATGAGACATGCCGCATTATCACGGAGTGTCTGCGCCCTACATAATTGGAGAAATTACACTGTCTAGCCGGTATTGCACCACCTGACATCCGCCGGGAAGGAGCAGCCAATAGTGAAAGGACCAAGGCAGAGACATCTCCAGCTCATCCCGTTTGGGTATCAGCCAGCACATCAACGACTTAAATCAAGAAATAGTTTTCTAAGATCCACAGAGACACTCGCTGGAACACCCCCAGCAAGCGAGAGTCCAAAAGTGGCAGGCTCAAACCCAGAACCTCAACCAATGGCTGATACCAAAGGAGAGACTCCCCCCTGGGCGACTTGGAAGGCGCTGAACAGGCTGCGCTCTAGCACCATGAGATGTAGAGCCAACCTCAAGAAATGGGGCCACAAAGTGGAGTCCACGCCATGCGAGTGTGGAGAAGAGCAAACCACTGACCACCTGCTGCAATGCACCCTGAGCCCTGCCACATGATGCACAATGGAGGACCTCCTTGCGGCAACACCAGAGGCACTCCAAGGGGCCAGAGACTGCTCAAAGGACATTTAATCAACTACCAAGCTTGCAAACTTTGTGTTTTGTCGGTTTGTTTGTTTTTGTTAAAAATGTAATACAAATGTCTGGTTGCGGATGACACGATAAATAAATAAATTTCTCAACCTGGGGGTCGGGACCCCTGGAGGAGTCACCAGGGGATTTCAGTCCATCGGAAAACACAGTGATTGTGAATTTTATGCCAAACAGAGTAACTTTCAACCTGAAAAGAATGCATTTCCCATCTATATAAATAAAAATGTAATGCCTGTTTGTGGGACTAACGTAACGTTAATTCCAGAACTGTCTGTCTTCCTAACCTTTGCAGTTTGGGGAACTCCTTTATGAGAAGCGCCACTACGGGCCGTCCAAGTGGGCCTGCGTCAATGCGCAGGAAGAGCAGTACGAGCAGAGCATCTGCCTGGGATTCATGAAGATCATGAGATACATCTGTGAGCAGAACTCCTCAGGTCAGGAAGGGTCCTTCGCGTGTGCCTTATCAGTGTGGGATACAAGGGAAAAGATGTGCGTATGTGTGCATATGAACCCACACTCCTATGGAGCATGGCTCTTGCATCTGCAAGGGATCTGCTCCAAAAGTCCCCGTAGATACCAGAAGCCACAGATAAAACTATGTCACGCTGCGATTTTTGTTCCAGAGTTATAAATGTCATTTCCTAAAGTCATGGGAAAAGTTTATTAAACTGTAAACACAGCAACCAGCCAGACTTTGAAACTGCAAGGCCATTTAATGCTAATCTATTTATCTATTTATTTACTACATTTATATACCACTCTTCTCAGCCCTCGGGCGACTCAGAGCGGTTCACAATAGCAAAATTCAATGCTTAAGACATCACAAAACAGTTAAAAACAATTAAAACAACAACATTATAACAATCCATTAAATCATTAGATCATGGCCACCATCACAAAGAGTAGAATGGGAGAGAGAGAAAAATGACAGTGTGCACCCTGTTGCAAATGCTCCTATAAAGGAGGGAGGGAAGAAAAAAATGAAGGAAAAGGAGGAAGAGGGCAAAGGAAGAAAGGGGGAAGGAAAAAGGAAAGGAAGCGCAAAGAAAGAAAGGAATGAAAAATGGAAGGAATGAAAAGAAGGAGGGAGCAAAGGAATGAAAAATAGGTAGGAGCGAAAGGAGGGAGCAAAGAAAGGAAAGGAAGAATGAAAAAGGAGAGAGGGAGAAAAGGAAGAAAGAGTGACAGAAAAGGAGGGAAGGAGAAATGGAGAAGTAAAGAGTAGGAAAGTAAGGAAGGTAGGAAAGAAGGGAGAAAGGAAGAAAGGTCAGTAGAAAACAGGGAAGGAAGAAAATTAAGAAATAGAAAGGATGGGAAGTGGGGAAAAGTGAGGAAAGGAATTCAGAAAGTAGTGGTTTGAACCTCGGACTATAGCTCGGAATCTCCTGGGTGCTTTTAGGCAACTCACTCTTTCAGCCTCAGGGGAAGACAAAGGCCAGTTTCCTCTGAATTGGACACGAAAACTCAAAGTTTCCCAAAGTCTGAAACGAATTGAAGGCACACAACAACAACAATCCCAATTAGTCATTAATCATACCTTACTTGGAAAGTAAGGTGCTAAAAAATAATAATCAAGGTGGCCAATTGCAACATTCACACTTGTCTCCAACAGACAAGAGTACTTTCTCCCACCTTGGACATTATTCCACAGGTATAGATATATAAATCCCACTTGCCTAGTTTCCAACAGACCTAAAAACCTTTGGGGATGCCTGCCATAGATGTAGGCGAAACGTCAGGAGAGAATGTCTCTGGAACATGGCCAGACGGCCCGGAAAACTCACAGCAACCCTGCAAACACTTTGTCTTTGCGGGGCATCCTGCTACAGCACATTTTGCTCTAGTTTTTCAATGAATATCTCACAATTGCATTTTGTGAGTTTGTGGCAGATGCAAAAATGAAGTTTCAAGAGTATATAAATATGGTAAATAAATAAACAAATAATAGAGTTTGTGGCAGTTGCAAAAACGAAGTTTCAAGAGTATATAAATATGTTAAGTAAATAAATAAATAATAGAACAACTACCTTCAAAGTAAGGACAGCACAACTAAACAGGAAGTAATACTTCCAAGCCAGGAACAAAAAAGTTCTCAAATTATTGTGTATTGTGGTGATACTTCAGCTACGGGCATTCCATAGGATCACACTGGAAAGAGCTAGAGAGGCCCACAAATACTGGGTTTTTGGAGGTTTTTCGGGGAGTATGGCCTCACAACCTCCGCGGATGCTTGCCACAGATGCAGGCAAAACGTCAGGAGAGAATGCTTCTAGAACATGGCCATACAGCCCAAAAAATCTCCAAAAACCCAGTGATTCTGGCCATGAAAGCCTTTGACAATGCATTCCCACAAATACTGTTTGCAGTGTGGATAAATAAAACTATGGTTATCAAATCTGTGGCTTGTAGTGTATGCTGCCAGAAGTCCAATGGCTCTGCATATGCCAACCCCTCCAACATAAATAAAGGCATAAAACATGCCATTATCGCCACACACGCCCCAAAGAAAGTCCCCAAATGTTGCATTTTTACTTGGTGGTCTATGCCACATTTGATGTCAAATGCACTCTCCAAGAGAAAATGATATCTATTGTATTTCTTTTATTCTAAGACACGCTTCCTCCTCCATAAACATGTCTAAAGATGGCTTAGAGACGTGATGGTGAACCTATGACACGTGTGTCAGCACTGACACGCATGGCTACATTTATTTATTTATTTACAGCATTTCTATTCCGCCCTTCTCCTCACCCCGCAGGGGACTCAGGGCGGATTACAGTGTACACATATATGGCAAACATTCAGTGCCAATTTTTGACATACAAACATATACAGACATACACAGAGGCTATTTAACTTTTTTTTTTCCTGCCTGCCAGGGGAGCTGTCGCTTTCATCGTCCATCTGCGACGCTGATTAAGCACTTCCGCATTCCCCGCATGCTTCCCCGCTGGAATGCTTTGCTGGAGTCTTCTTTATGGCCTCATAAATCAGTTAATTTAGCCTCCCCACACTTTTTAAGGTGGTACCTAATTTTCCTACTTGACAGATGCAAGTCTTTCGGGTTGCAAAGGTCGACAACAGGCTACACACAACTGGTTTGAAACCCACTCCAACCCGGGCTGGCTTCGAACTCATGACCTTTTGGTCAGAGTGATCTTAATGCCGCTGACACTCAGCCAGCTGTGCCACAATCCCGGTGCTTTTGATGACATGCGGCCACATACAGAGTATGTGAAGAAGTACACATACAGAAGTACACCTTACAAGAGCCAATCTAATTCCATCCTTAAATTTGTAAAAGGCTCTACATCTGCACGTTTGAGCATTGTTCACTCCATAACTCAGCATGGAATATACATTTTTCTTATTTAAACTATAAATATTGCAAAATTATGGGGTTTTCTTTCTCAATGTTGACACCCCACCCAAGTTATGCTCTGGTTTTTGCAAATTTTGACACACCAAGCTCAAAAGGTTGTCCATCACTGGCTTAGACTCTTAAAATTGTGGCTGCGTACTAGGCGTTTCTTTGTTGGTAGTGATCCTGAAAATAGGCTGTACCTTAGAAACGAAGAAATATGGTAGTTTTAAATGCTTTCAAAATCCAACACACGATAGGAGGCTGACCCACGAGAGCAGGAAATGACCACCCACCGCTTGTCTCCCTCAGGCCTGTACCTGGGGATGACCATCCCCATTGTGACCGTGGTCCACACCGAGGAGGCCATGCCGGACATCCGGAGGCTGGTGACGGTGGCCTACCGCCTGCCCTCGGATCTGCAGGACCGGCCCCCGGAGCCCTGCGACCCCGACATCTCCATCCAGGAGTGGCCCCCGGCCACCGTCTACGCCAGGTGAGAGGCAGAAGGGAGACCTCCAAGGGTCATCCAGTCCAACCTTTTTTGGACAGGTAGCCAAGCACGATATGTGTTTGCACATGTGTTGTAATGTATTTTTTTTTTGCTTTTTAAGTCTCTTCTGCAATGCTTTTATGAGTGATGGTCACTCGTTGGCCTGAGAGGTGTCTTGTATCCAAATTTGGAGTCATTTTGTCCAGTGGTTTTTGAATTACGTTAATCCCACAAACTAACATTACATTTTTATTTATATAGACTAGCTGTCCCCTGCCACGCGTTGCTGTGGCCCAGTCTGTTGATCTGGAAAATAAAGTAATGAGAAAGTGTTGGTTTCTAATGTATGTAATGTCTTTCTGCTTGTGGGTAAACAGTATTTCTTGCTGTTTCTTTGCCAGTGTTGATGTGGAGAGTGTCTGGTTTGCCTACTCTGGAATATGCAACATAGAATTGTCCTTCTTTAGGGGTCCCTTTCAAGTCTATGATGCTATATCTGTCATATACATGTGTGTGTGTGTGTATGAAACATATATATCTATATCTATGGCTGGTTGGCTCTTTGTCAGGAAGGCTTTGATTACATTTTTTTGCCCTTGTGAAGGGAGTTGGACAGGATGGCCTTAAGTATTTTCTATTGGTCAGGGGGGTTCTGTGTGGGAGGTTTGCCCCAATTCTGTAGCTGGTAGGGTTCAGCATGCTCCTTGATTGTAGGTGAACTATAAATCCCAGTAACTGCCAATCCCAAATGTCAAGGTCTATTTCCCCTAAACTCCATCTGTGTTCATATTTGGGCATATGGAATATTCATGCCAAGTTCGGCCCAGATCCATTACTGTTTGAGTCCACATTGCTCTCTGGCTGTAAGTGAACTACAACTCCTAAACTCAAGGTCAATGCCCACCAAAGCCTTCTAGTCTTTTCTGTTGGTCATGGGAGTCCTGTGTACCACGTTTGGTTCAATGCCATAATTGGTGGAGTTCAGAATGCTCTTTGATTGTAGGTGAACTATAAATCCCAGCAACTCCCAAATGACAAAATAAAAAAAAATGAGTGAAGGACATACATTGGGTTGTTAGGTGTATGCTGTCCAAATTTGGTGTCAATTGGCCCACTGGTCTTTGAATTATGTTAATCCCACAAACGAACATTACATTTTTATTTATATAGATATTATTGGCATAGCACAGGAGACAGTAATAACAACAATCCCCACCCTCTGCTCCTCTTACTGGGACTACCAATAGGATTTATATCTGCATAATTATTTCCCCACTTTCATAATTAAGCAAAACCAGTTCCTAGCCTTTATGGCTTCAGAGATTGATTGGGGATGGGAAAGAGGGGCTGCAAACAGTGTGGGCACGGGCGCAGCTCAGGAGACAGTAATAACAACAATCCCCACCCTCTGCTCCTCTTACTGGGACTACCAATAGGATTTATATCTGTATGATTATTTCCCCACTTTTATAATTAAGCAAAACCAGTTCCTAGCCTTTATGGCTTCAGAGATTGATTGGGGATGGGAAAGAGGGGCTGCAAACAGTGTGGGCACGGGCGCGAGTCTCACGTAAATGCCTGAAATATCCTTTTCCCCCAATGCATCCTTTTCACAGGGGCTTCCGAGGCGTCACAAACGAAGGCTCCATCGCAAGAGAAATCAACTTCCTGGCCGAACTTCTGGAGAGCCCTGAGCTGTGCGTGCGAGACACCTTCCTCGTGGCGGGCTACACCAACCCGGCGGCCGCGAATCGCCAGAACGAAATATGGTTCCTTGAAAAACCCGAGGCTGCCTTTCGGCTGTGAGTCGCTGACCGGACCCCCGGGGGCCACAAGCCTGACAAACCAGCTTCCCTTCCTTTGGTGAAATGTGAAACTCTGCAGCTCTGCTTCTAGCTCAGCTCTGGCCCTTTCTTCGTGTGTTTTGGACTTCAACTCCCATCATTCCTAACAGCCTCAGGCCCCTTTCTTTTCCCTCTCAGCCGCTTAAGCGGCTGAGAGGGAAAAGGAAAGGGCCTGAGGCTGTTAGGAATGGTGGGAGTTGAAGTCCAAAACATATGTTCTAGCTGTTGTGCTTCTTCAGTTTTGCATAGCTGTTGCTGAGCTTTCTTCTAGCACTTTTCCCCAAAAATGAGAAAGTAAACACGAGAGAGGAGAGAATGTATTTAGTGTACAGAGATCTGATTCTTCCAATATGAAGCTCACGGAACGATTGTGAAGGTTGTCTGCCTGGTTTTCTTTTTCTAACAGGAAATGCAGTTTTCTCCCCTAAAGTACACACATTCCTACTTCTCATGAGCATCAACTGAGGCTTTGCACATTTATCAACAATCTATATAAATAAAATGTAATGTTCGTTTATGGAATTAAGATAACTCAAAAACTACTGGTCGAATTGACACCAAATTTGGACACAAGGCACCTATCAGGCCAATGAGTGACCATCACTCATAAAAACACAGCAGAAGATATTTAAAAAGCCAAAAATTAAAAAAAATACATTACAAAGCATGCGCAAAACCACATATATACGCAAAAACACATATATACACAAATATATACACACATATATACCCTCGGGGGTGAAAAGGGCAGGGTACAAGTATCTACATAAATAAAAATGTAATGTTTGTTTGTGGGATTAACATAACTCAAAAACCACTGGATGAATTGACACCAAATTTGGACGCATTACACCTATCAGGCCAATGAGTGACCATGACTCATAAAAACACTGAAAAACACAGCAAAAGAGACTTAAACAGCCAAAACAACCCCAAAATTTCACTACAACGCATGCGCAAAACCACATATATACACATGTACACAAACATATACACACACATACACAGACTGGGCCACAGCAACGCGTGGCAGGGGACAACTAGGTATAAATAAAAATGTAATGTTCGTTTGTGGGATTGACATAACCCAAAAATCACTGGATGAAATGACACCGAATCTGGACAGAATATACATATTAGGCCAACAAGTGGCCATCACTTTATTAATGCACTTTATTATTATTATTATTAGAAAATTATTATTATTATTATTATTATTATTATTATTATTAGAAATGTAATCCAATGGTATGGTTGCTGATGACACAATAAATAAAATTAATGATCTAGGATTGTCTGCACACTCCATCCCTCTCCGAAAACTCGATCCTAGTCATATTTCTCCTGTTCATGCTCAGCATTATCTTTAAAATTTTAATTATTACATTTGGCCCAGCCATAAGTTTTTTAAACATCGTTGTGTCACTGTTAATGTTTATTGCTTATTGTTTGTTATGAGTTTTATTTTATTGTTTGTATTACTGTTGTTATTGTTTTTATTACTGATGTATTGTGGGCTCGGCCTGCACCGAGTTCCTTGGGGAGATGGTAGTGGGGTATAAATAAAGTTATTATTATTATTATTATTATTATTATTATTATTGGAACCGCCGTGGCGCAGTGGGTTAAACCCCTGTGCTGGCAGGACTGAAGACCGACAGGTCGCAGGTTCGAATCCGGGGAGAGGCGGATGAGCTCCCTCTATCAGCTCCAGCTCCTCATGCGGGGACATGAGAGAAGCCTCCCACAAGGATGATAAAAACATCAAATCATTCAGGCGTCCCCTGGGCAACGTCCTTGCAGACGGCCAATTCTCTCACACCAGACGCGACTTGCAGTTTCTCAAGTCGCTCCTGACACGACAAAAAAATATTATTACTCATAAAAACACTGAAAAACGCACCAGAAGAGACTTAAAAAGCCAATATATATATATAAAAATGCATTATAATGCATTCACAAAATCACACACACACACACATATATGCAAAAACACACATATATACACACACACAAAGCACACATACACAGACTGGGCCACAGCAAGGCTAGTTCCTTTCTAAAAGATGTTTCAGGGATGAATGGCTGTCTAGATGGAGCAGAGATGTTCCCCTAATCTCCCCCAAAAGTCTCCAGTTGCCCATTGGAAGTGGCCTTGCACACTGCTTACTCCAGGCTTCTCTTTAGACAGCTGCTATAGGGAGGAGATATGGGGAAGGACGGATTGCCAATACTCAAAGGACACTTCAGATCGAATGAGCAAGGAGTATTTCAGAAAGTTAACAGCAGTTGTACTCCTCCTGGTGTGGACAACCATTATGAAATGTGTCTCTGTATCCTGTCAGTGCAACTTGTGATGTAAACCATATTAAAAGTCTATTTTTAATTACGGGATCCATTGGAGTACTGTTTTATTTTTTTAAAAACCCTTTGTAAGGCTTTCTTAATTGGTATTGTAAGCTGTGTTGTGGGCAATGGAAGAAACAGGAAAAATGAACAAATGTGCAGAAATGTATTTAGTTCAGGCCTGGGCCCTCCTTCCAGGTGTTTTGGATTTCAACTCCCACAATTCCTAACAACCAAAACATCTGGAGGGCCCAAGTTTGCCCAGGCCTGACTGAAATGTTTTCCTTCTTTGGCTTGACCTGGTGGCTTTTTGTTTTTTTGCAAGGCCAAGCACAAAACTGTACACAAATCAGAATAGTAGTGTGGTGAAGCCCTCGTTACAGCTTAAATAACATGGAGGAATAACATTTCTTGCTACCTCAAGCTAAACAAACAGCGTATAGTCACCTCTCAACAAAAGATTGCTCCAGGCACTGCCAGGCAATCAAATGCTAATCAAGGTGGTCAGTTGAAACATTCACACCTAGCTCCAGCAGACAAGAGTCCTTTGTCCCACCCTGGTCTTTCCTTTTGGCCTGCATCAATAGGAGCATAGTGTCTAGATCTAAGGAAGTAATGCTCCCTATGCTCTATTTCGCTTTGGTTAGACCACACCTGGAATATTGTGTCCAATTCTGGGCACCGCAATTCAAGAGAGATATTGACAAGCTGGAATGTGTCCAGAGGAGGGCGACTAAAATGATCAAGGGTCTGGAGAACAAGCCCTATGAGGAGCGGCGTAAGGAGCTGGGCATGTTTAGCCTGAAGAAGAGAAGGCTGAGAGGAGATATGATAGCCATGTATAAATATGTGAGAGGAAGGCACAGGGAGGAGGAGGGAGCAAGCAAGCTTCCTTTCTGCTTCCTTGGAGACTAGGACACAATGGAACAATGGCTTCAAACTACAAGAGAGGAGATTCCATCTGAACATTAGGAAGAACTTCCTGACTGTGAGAGCCGTTCAGCAGTGGAACTCTCTGCCCCGGAGGGAGTGTGGTGGAGGCTCCTTCTTTGGAAGCTTTTAAGCAGAGGCTGGATGGCCATTTGTCAGGGGTGCTTTGAATGCAATATTCCTGCTTCTTGGCAGGGGGTTGGACTGGATGGCCCATGAGGTCTCTTCCAACTCTTTGATTCTATGATTCTATGATATATAAGCCCATTTTCCTAGTTCCAACAGACCTCTGAGGATGCTTGCCATAGATGTAGGCGAAACGTCAGGAGAGAATGCCTCAAGAACATGGCCATATAGCCCGAAAAAACCTACAACAACCCAGTGATTCCGGCCATGAAAGCCTTCGAGAAAGCATATAGTCAGCATTAGCTGACTTGCCTGGAGACAGTAGAGAGTGGAATTAGAGCAGCGTTTCTCAACCTGGGGGTCGGGACCCCTGGGAGAGGGGTCATGAGGAGGTGTCAGAGGGGTCGCCAAACACGATCACAAAACACATATTTCACATAGTCTTAGGAAACCTTTTAGCAGAGGAGGCTGGAGAAATATTTTCTGTTCGTCACGAGGTTCTGCGTGGGAAGTTTGGCCCAATTCTATCATTGGTGGGGTCCAGAATGCTCTTTGATTGTACAGGAACTATAAATCTCAGAAACTACAACTTCCAAATGTCAAGGTCTATTTTTCCTAAACTCCACCAGTGTCTACATTTGGGCATATTGAGTATTCATGCCAAGTTTGGTCCAGATCCATCATTGTTTAAGTCCACAGTATCTGTCTCTGAATGTAGGTGAACTACAACTCCAAAACTCAAAGTCAATGCCTAGCGTTTCTCAACCTGGGGGTCGGGACCCCTGAGGGGGCCATGAGGGGGTGTCAGAGTGGTCACTGAAGACCATCAGAAATCACAGTATTTTCTGTTGATCATGGGGGTTCTGTGTGGGATGTTTGGCCCAATTCCATAGTTGGTGGAATTTGAAATGCTCCTTGATTGTAGGTGAACTATAAATCCCAGCAACTACAACTCCCAAATGTCAAGATCTATATTCCCCAAACTCCACCAATGTTCACATTTGGGTATATTGAGTATCCCTGCCAAGTTTGGTCCAGATACATCATTGTTTGAGTCCACAGTGCTCTCTGGATGTAGGTGAACTACAACTTCCAAATGCAAGGTCAATGCCCACCAAACCATTCCAGGGTTTTCCGATGGCCGTGGGAGTTCTGTGTGCCGAGTTTGGTTCAATTCCATCATTGGTGGAGTTCAGAATGCTCTTTGGTTGTAAATTAACTATAAATCCCAGCAACTACAACTCCCAAATGACAAAAATCACCCCCCCCCCCACACACACACACACACAAACACCCCACCAGCATTCAAATGTGGGCGTATCAGATATTTGTGCCAAATCTGGTCCAGTGAATGAAAATACATCCTGGATATCTGATATTTACATTATGATTCATAAAAGGAGCAAAATCACAGTTATGAAGTAGCACCAAAAATAATTTCATGGTTGGGGGTCACCACCACATGAGGAACTGTATTAAGGGGTCGTGGCATTAGGAAGGTTGAGAAACACTGTTCTAAAACAACCTCCCTTCCCATGGTAAACTGGAACTCCTCGTCTTCAGTATCAGCATCAACATCGTCTGTATCAACAATAGGAATATGTTCAGGAATCTGAAACCCATCATCCTGCTGAGCCACAACACTGTCTCTCGTCCCCGCCAATCGCGCTTGCGAGGCAGGTGGCATCGAGAGTTGGACTTCCCCAGACAATCTTAAGCTCCTAGATGGTCCATAAGGAGAGATACAGTCGGACAGGTAAGCTGGGCCGGAACCATTTAGGACTTTATAGGCTAAAGCCAGCAAACCCAGAGTCACAAAACCAAAACAGACATTCCTTCCCATGGATTAAACTCAAGTGTCTGAACATATCTAATGCTGCAGTCCTACTCACCCGGATGTAAGCCGCCTGGACCCCGGCCAGCTCTTTCCCCAGCGGGACCACCATCTTCTCCACCCGCCGTTCATGAGAGTAAGGCTGGATGTCCGGGGAGTCTTCCGTACACAGCTCGATGTGCGAAATCAGAAGGTTGGAAACCACTTGCTGGACGGCCTGCAAAGAGATGAATGACGTGGCACATCACATCTATGCATCAACCCCAGCATCGCTAAGAGAGATCGTTATTATGTATAGGGCAGGCACAGGCGAATTTCGGCCCCCTCTCCAGAAGTTTTGGACTTCAAATTCCACAATTTCTAACAGCATTGTGGGAGTTGAAGTCCAAAACACCTGGACGGAGGGGCAAAATCAGCCTGTGCCTGGTATATGATATTCCAAAATGCACTATTCAAGGAGACTCAAAGTGTCTTACACTAAAGCATGTAAATCTATATAAATAAAAAAGCAATGTTTGTTTGTGGGATTCACGTATCTCAAAAACCACTGGATGAATTGACACCAAATTTGGACACAATACAATTGTGCCCAAATTGGGCCCAAATTTGGGCCCAATTTAAGGTGCTGGTGTTGGCCTACAAAGCCCTGAACGGCTCCGGCCCAAAATACCTTTCAGACCGCATCTTGGCCTATGAGCCCACGAGGACCTTGAGATCGTCTGGGGAGGCCCTTCTCTCGATCCCGCCTGCCTCACAGGCACGCCTGGCGGGGACGAGAGAGAGGGCCTTCTCAGTGGTGGCCCCCCGGTTGTGGAACACTCTCCCTACAGACATCAGGCAGGCGCCCTCTCTTTTGTCCTTCCGAAAAAGCCTCAAGACGTGGCTGTTCGAGAGGGCATTTAATTAAGTGCTATAGTAATGTGGTAAAGACGACTGGAATGGTACAAGGAATACGAGATTGGTCACGATTCTATTACGAGACGAAGCGGATTAGTTAGTGTAATTTTAACTGTTGTATTGTTGTATGGTTAATATGCTGTTGTACTTGTCTTTGTGTGAATTGCCTTTTGTACTGTACACCGCCGTGAGTCGCCCGAGTGGGCTGAGAATGGCGGTTAATAAATGCTCCAAATAAATAAATAAATACACCTCTCAGGCCAACAAGTGACCATCACTCATACAAACAGTGAAAAACACAGCAGAAGACACTTTAAAAGCCAAAAAATGAAAAAATACATTACAACACATGCACAAAACCACATATATACACGTATACACAAATATATACACACACATGTACACATATATACACACAAAACACATATACATATGTTATTTTGAGACTGTTTATTTTATTTTGTCATTTTTTGTGTTTATTTTGATGCTATTTTGTTTCATTGAATTTTGTTTTGTCGTATTGTTATTTTTGGGCTTTGCCTCATGTTAGCCGCCCTGAGTCCCTTTTAGGGAGATGGTAGCTGGGTAATAATAATAATAATAATTAATAAGTCACTGATATTCACTTTGGATATAAAGTTGGCCTTGCAATCTACTGATGCTGCATCCATGATTTGAAACTATCCAAAAAAGCAAATGGTTTTCACATTTTATATAAGGGATTCCTGTTTTATTCTGTTCATCTATACTGTAGGACTGATGCATTTTGGCACTTTAACCATTTTAACCAATGCTATGGAATCATGGGAACTGGAGTTTGGCAGAGAAGGATAAAGACCCTGTCTAACCGCAACTCCCAGGATCCCATTGTCCCATTGTAGCAGTAGTAGTAGTAGTAGTAGTAGTAGTAGTAGTAGTAGTAGTAGAAAAAAGAAGACTTTGTTTGTATCTCCTCTTGGGGACTCAATAGTATTGAGCCATGGTGGTGAAAGTGATACCAAACTGCATTAATTTGAGGCTGTAGATGCCTCCAGGTGCGACTGACCTTTGCATCGTTGCCAGGAGTGGCCGTCAGAGCCAGGATCCGGAACTCCTGGGTGTATTTGCACAATTCTTTCACCACCTGAGGAAAAAGGACCTCTCATCAACAACAATGTCCTTGTATTTCTAAACATATTCTAATGAAAACTTTTGATATATCAGAGCAAAATGTAACAAATAATAATAATAATAATAATAATAATAATAATAACAACAACAACAACAACATGCCCTGGCAGAATATATCAAGGAAAGCCAATAACCTGCTTTAATTGAAGTCAATAATCGGAAACTTCTCAAAGCACAGCAGACAAAGAGTCAGTACAAGAAAACTGCACTCCAACCCAGAACTGATAGCTGACACAACAAGACCTTACATGGGCAGTTCCTTGAGAAGATTGAAGGAAAAGCTGACAAGGAGAAGACCTGGTAATGACTCACAAATGGAACCCTGAAGAAGGAGACAGAAGAAGGCCTGGTTCTTGCAGCCCAGGAGCAAGCCATCAGAACCAATGCCATTAAGGCCAGGATTGGAAAATCAGTGGCTGACCCAAAATGCAGACTGTGCAAGGAAGTGGATGAAACCATGGATCATATCCTCAGCTGTTGCAAGAAAATTGCACAGACGGACTACAAACAGAGGCACAACTCTGTGGCCCAAATGATTCACTGGAACTTATGTCACAAGGACTATCTACCATTGGTCGGATCATCAACATGCAAAAGTCGTGGAAAATGAACATGCAAATATACTGTGGGACTTTCAAATCCAGACTGACAAAGTTTTGGAACACAATACACCAAACATCACGATTGTGGAAAAGAAAAAAGTCTGGATTATTGATGTCGCCATTCCAAGTGACAGCCGCATTGAGGAAAAACAACAGGAAAAACTCAGCTGCTATCAAGACCTCAAAATCGAACTGCAAAGGCTCTGATGGCATAAACCAGTCCAGGTGGTTCCAGTGGTCATTGGCGCACTGGGTGCCATGCCAAAAGATCTCAACCGGCATTTGGAAACAGTAAACATCGACAAAATCACAATCTGTCAACTGCAAAAGGCCACTTGACTTGGATCTGTGCGCATCATTCGAAAATATATCACACAGTCCTAGACGCTTGGGAAGGGTTCAACTTGTGATTTTGTGATCCAGCATAGAGACCTCGTTTGCTGTGACATACTGTGCTTTTGTGTCAATAATAATAATAATAATAATAATAATAATACATTTTTACTTATTACCTGCCTCTCCTGACGGCTCAAGGTGGGGTGCAACAAATTCAGAAACAAATGAACATAAACATACAATATATTACTAAATTTCATAAATAAATACACACACAAGTATGAAAGCTTAAACCAAACACAGCTAAAGAATTGACACATAGTGGTAACAGAATGCAAAAAGCATGGGATTACTCCACTGTGATGATATACTAAGTAGAAATTCTACCGTATAAATGTTTATTTATAAATATCATATAAATAACTAATTTTGTAAAAGTGTGGGATTGTCCTGAAAGTCCCACAGCTTGATAATGTTCACTTAAAGAGTACAAAACCAAAGTGCCACCTAGTGGCAGGCTGTTTCCCCATCTTCTTGCCTTCTCCTACTTAAAGCAACGTGGTTAGATCAGGACTTGACCTAGAAAAATCCAATGTATCAGGAAGATTCCAAGTTTTAAACCCCCATAATTTATTACTGTCTTTGCCACTTCTGTCCTATTTCCTCAAAATGATTGACAAGAAGGCCGAGCGTCAATTAACCCTGAATTTAAAGTTTATCTTGTTCATATCAAACATGACAAACATGCCAAGGCACAAGTGTGTGCTTTCCACCTACGCAACCGTGAAGCCAAGAGGAAATTGAAAGTCACCTGGGAAGATCAGGACCTTGAACACTGTTTCCATCCTAAATATCTCAGTGTCACCTTAGAGCTAGGTGGGAATGTTTCAACTGACCACCTTGATTGGCATTGGATGGCCTGGCAGTGCCTGGGGCAATCTTTTGTTGAGAGGTGATTAGATGTCCTTGTTTGTTTCCTCTCTGCTGTTTTTGCTGTTGTAATTTTAGAGTTTTTTAATACTGGTAGCCCGATTTTGTTCATTTTCATGGTTCCCTCCTTTCTGTTGAAATTGTCCACATGCTTCTTGTGGATTTCAATGGCTTCTCTGTGTAGCCTGACATGGTGGTTGTTGGAGTGGTCCAGCATTTCTGGGTTCTCAAATAATATGCTGTGTCCAGGTTGGTTCATCAGGTGCTCTGGACATCTAATCACCTCTCAACGAAAGATTGCTCCAGGCACTGCCAGGCCATCAAATGCTAATCAAGGTGGTCAGTTGAAACATTCACCCCTAGCTCCAGCAGACAAGAGTCTTTTGTCCCACCCTGGTCATTCCACAGATAAATAAACCCTTTTCCCAGTTCCAACAGACCTCTCTACCTCTGAGGATGATTGCCATAGATGCAGGTGAAATGTCAGGAGAGAATGCCTCTAGACCATGGCCATATAGCCCGAAAAAACCTACAACAACCCTTTATGTGATTTGTTTAACACTTTTATTCTGTTATCACCTGTTGTATGTTATATGTGCACCTGGAGTGCCTTTGCGAGCCGCCCCGAGTCCCTTCAGGGTGATAGTGGCAGGATATAAATAAAGCTTCTTCTTCTTATTATTATTATTACCTGGCAATAGGCATAATTCCCCAGGGCTCTGTGGGCCTCGTCGAGCACCAGGCACTTCACTTCTGCAGCCGGGCAGATCCCTCGGGAGAGATCGTTGACCAGGATCTGCGGCGTCAGGAAGAAGACCTTCTTGTGGCGCCAGAGCTCCTTCCGGTCAGCGATCGAGGTGCCTCCTGAAACAAGGAAGGGCAAGGGTTGGATTAGACCTCCCCTGGAATCACACTGTGCCCAATTCTGGGCACCGCAATTTAAAAGAGATACTGACTCTAATATCTAACAATAATATAATATCTAATAACCCCCAAAGGCGCAGGTTCGCAGCTTGGGAGTCCTCCTGGAATCCCAGGTTGCAGCGGTGGCCAGGGGAACATTTGCATAGTCTAAACTTGTGCGCCAGCTGCGCCGTACCTTGGGAAGTCAGACTTGGCCACGGTAGTCCATGCTCTGGTTACATCCTGTTTACACTACTGCAACGCGCTCTACATGGGTTGCCTCTGAAGACTGTCCAGAAGCTTCAATGGTACAAGGGGCGGCAGCCAGATTGCTCACCAGCGTGGCATTCAGGGAGCATACAATGCCTCTGTTACACCAACTTACTGTGGCTCAATCTGTGTATATGTGCTTTGTGTGTGTATATATGTGTGTGTGTATGTGTCTATATGTGGTTTTGAGGTCGAACCCAGAACTCCCTGCTATCATAGAAGCAAAGAGTTGGAAGAGACCAATTTAAGGTGCAGGTGCTTACCTACAAAGTGAAAAGGAAAGTAGGTATATAGTATGAAATATTAAGTTCAATATATGTAATTAATGTCTTCTTAACAACAGCTTACCTACAAAGCTCTAAACGATTTGGGACCATCCTATCTGCGTGACCGCATCTCCGTCTATGAACCCACGCGTTCTCTTCGTTCATCTGGAGAGGCCCTGCTCGTGATCCCACCTACGTCGCAAGCGCATTTGGTGGGGACGCGAGACAGGGCCTTTTCTGTGGTGGCCCCCCGACTCTGGAACATCCTCCCCAAAGATCTTAGACAGGCACCTACATTGGCACTCTTCAGAATGAACTTGAAGACCTGGCTGTTCCGATGTGCCTTCCCAGATTAGGAAATCTCCAACAACAAATCCCAGAAGCACTTTAGTAGAAATTAAAATTGCTGGCACACTGCACTTGCCCATAATCCTTACATACCACCTGTCACATCAGCACTTTTAATCCTGTACCCATTACTCTGGCCCGGCCCAGTTTTATTGCGTCTTGGTGTATTGTTTATTGCTTGTTGTTTAATATTGCTTTAACTGTGTTTAATTTGCTTTATGTTTTGTATTGTTTTGTTGTGCTTTGAGGCCTTGGCCTTTGTAAGTTGCATCGAGTCCTTCGGGAGATGCTCGTGGGGTACAAATAAAGTTAATAATAATAATAATAATAATAATAATAATAATAATAATAAATTACACTTTTAAACAGAGGCTGAATGGCCATCTGTCAGAAGTGCTTTGATTGTATTTTTCCTAGATGGGCTTAAGTGGCTGAGGGGGGAAAGGTAATAGAATCCTAGAATCCTAGAGTTGGAAGAGACCTCCTGGGCCCTCATCCAGTCCAACCCCATTCTGCCAAGAAGCAGGAATATTGCATTCAAAGCACCCCTGACAGATGGCCATCCAGCCTCTGTTTAAAAGCTTCCAAGCTGATGGAATCGTTCCAGGAGTTGAGTGTGACGTCTGTAGACAGTCCACGTCTTATAAAATCATAGAATCAAAGAGTTGGAAGAGCCCTTCTGGGCTATCATCCAATCCAACCCCATTCTGCCAAGAAGCAGGAATACTGCATGCAAATCACCACTGACAGATGGCCATCCAGCCTCTGTTTGAAAGCTTCCAAGCTGATGGAATCGTTCCAGGAGTTGCATGTGACGTCTGTAGACAGTCCACGTCTCATAGAATCCTAGAATCCTAGAGTTGGAAGAGACCTCGTGGGCCGTCATCCAGTCCAACCGCATTCTGCCAAGAAGCAGGAATATTGCATTCAAAGCACCCTTAACAGATGGCCATCCAGCGTCTGCTGAATAATAATAATAATAATAATAATAATAATAATAATAATAATAGAATCCTAGAGTAGGAAGCCCGGCTGCTCACTGGAGGGAAGGAGACTAGAGACAAAGTGGAAGTCCTTTGGCCACATCACGAGGAGACAGCAAAGCCTAGAGAAGGGAATGATGCTGGGGAAAGTGGAAGGCAAAAGGAAGAGGGGCCGACCAAGGGCAAGATGGATGGATGGCACCCTTGAAGTGACTGGACTGACCTTGAAGGAGCTGGGGGGTGGTGACGGCCGACAGGGAGCTCTGGCGTGGGCTGGTCCAGGAGGTCATGAAGAGTGGGAGACGACTGAACGAATGAACAACAAGAGTTGGAAGAGACCTCCTGGGCCACCATCCAGTCCAACCCCATTCTGCCAAGAAGCAGGAATATTGCATTCAAATCACCCCTGACAGATGGCCATCCAGCCCCTGTTTCAAAACCTCCTCCACACTCCCTCCTGGGGCAGAGAGTTCCACTGATGAACAGCCCTCTCTCTATAAATAGAATCCTAGAATCCAAGAGTTGGAAGAGACCTCATGGGCCTTCATCCAGTCCAACCCCATTCTGCCAAGAAGCAGGAATAGTGCATTCAAAGCACCCCTGACAGATGGCCATTTGCAATGGGCTAGGGCTGTGAGGCATTGTGGGGGTTGAAGGGTTCTGGCCCAACCTACCTATCCGAACGTATCTCGGCCTATCAGCCCGCCAGGACCCTAAGATCTTCTGGGGAGGCCCTGCTCTCTATCCCGCCTGCTTCACAGGTGCGGCTGGCGGGGACGAGAGACAGGGCCTTTTCTGTGGTGGCCCCTCGGCTATGGAACGCCCTTCCCATGGAGGTAAGATCAGCCCCCTCGCTAATGGTGTTCCGAAGAAGATTAAAAACTTGGATGTTTGAACAGGCATTCGGTTAAACAGTGCAATGAATGTGATGATTACAGGAATGGAAATTGGACGACGGATTGGATCACGACTCTAGTGATGAGAAGCACTGTGTTGTCTATGGTTGTGTCAATATTGTATATTATGCTTTTATGGTTTTAAATTGTATATCATTGATTGATTCTTATCCTTGTTGTAAACCGCGTTGAGTCGCCTGTTGGGCTGAGAAACTGCGGTCTACAAGTAAAGTAAAGTAAAGTAAATAAATAAATAAATTACACTTTTAAACAGAGGCTGAATGGCCATCTGTCAGAAGTGCTTTGATTGTATTTTTCCTAGATGGGCTTAAGTGGCTGAGGGGGGAAAGGTAATAGAATCCTAGAATCCTAGAGTTGGAAGAGACCTCCTGGGCCCTCATCCAGTCCAACCCCATTCTGCCAAGAAGCAGGAATATTGCATTCAAATCACCCCTGACAGATGGCCATCCAGCCCCTCTTTCAAAACCTCCTCCACACTCCCTCCTGGGGCAGAGAGTTCCCGTGATGAACAGCCCTCTTTCTATAAATAGAATCCTAGAGTTGGAAGAGACCTCATGGGCCATCCAGTCCAACCCCATTCTGCCAAGAAGCAGGAATATTGCATTCAAAGCACTCCTGACAGATGGCCATCTGCAATGGGCTAGGGCTGTGAGGCATTGTGGGAGTCGAAGGGCCTGATGTACGCACCGGTGAGGTGTGCGGCGTCTTCCTTGGGGAGTCCCATGAGTCTGGCGCATGCGCGGCGCTGCTGTGCGACGAGGGGCCGTGTGGGGGCCAGGAAGAGGGCCTTCCCTGCGGGGAACCAGCGGGAGAAGTTGTGGAGCACGGCGGCCGCCACCAGCGTCTTGCCCAGGCCCGTGGGCAGGCACAGCAGCGTGTTGCCCTCCAGCGCCGCACGCACCGCCCGCACCTGGTAGGGGCGCCTTTCCAGGCCCGGACCGCCCGGGAACAGCCACAGCCGGGCCGCCGGGCCGCCCACGAAGCCTCCCGACCGCGCCTCCGCCTCGCCCGCCGCCAGCACCAGCGCCGCGTCATCCTCCTCATCCTCCTCCTCGGGCCGGGCGCCCCAGGCCTCGAACAGCGTCGCCTGCCGCCCGCCTGACGCCTTCCTCATGACGCTTTCCTCTCAGCCGCCGCCATCTTGGACGCAGGGGAAACTCCACATCGAAAATACGCGCCTCGTGCTCTGATTGGCTCCCGAGTGAGACAGGGGGCGTGGCCTCGCTCTTCCTACTCCGCTCATTGGCCGCTCTTCCAGTGCGCCGATTGGCTCCAGCGTATACTCTGCCCTGATTGGTTCTGAGTCAGTGGGAAAGTTCCGCCCCGCTTAGATGAAACTTCTTCCACTGCGCTGATTGGCTAGAGCATGGGTGCTCCGCCCTGATTGGTTGCAGGATGGTGGCTCAGGCTCCGCCCGGCGGCTGTAACATAAACACTCCCACTGTGCTGATTGGCTCAAATGTGCGCTCCGCCCTGATTGGCTGTGGGCTGGTGGATAAGGCTCCGCCCAGCGGGTGTGACAAAATCACTCCCACTGTCCTGATTGGCTCAAATGTGCGCTCCGCCCTGATTGATGGCAGGATGGCCAATAAGGCTCCGCCCGCAGGCTACAAAAGCACCTGATTGGTTACAGCGTGGGTGCGGCGCTGTGATTGGCTTGGGCTGGTGGGTAAGGCAACGCCTCGAACGCTGATTGGTTGTAACGCTTACCTCAGCTCTTCACATCAAGGGAGCAACTCTATAGCAGGTGTGGGCCAATTTGGGCCTTCCCTTGAAGTATTTTGGACTCCAACTCCCACAATGCCTAGCAGCCGGTGGGAGCGGAAGTGCAAAACACCGGGAGGGAAGGCCCCAGTGGGCCCAAGCCTTCAAGGTTGGGTACTTCTGTTCCACCGGGACTACATTACCCAGGCTGCATCGCGCGCGCTTTCAGGAAGTCCCGCCTATGGCTCAATCTCATTGGGCAGATTTCTTTCCCTCGAGGGGAAGGTTATTGACGGGCACGGCGTTGCTCCAATAGGAAGCGCCCGTTCCGCAAGGCATCCTGGGAAGTGTAGTCCGGGCTCCGTGAGGGGAAAGCGGGGCAGGGAGTCTCTCTTGGCGGAGACGGAGGGCGAGGCCATGGAGTCCCCCCCCGCGCGACCGTGGAGCCCCGAGCAGCTTCGGAGCGAAGAGCTGCCCAAGAGGGACCTGGTCCGCTTCCTCCAGGAACAGGCCGCCCACCGGGTGAGACGCGTGTCAGCTCATTCACACGTGCAAACGCGGGCAGGGGGCGGGGCGGGGCGGGGAGGGGAGGGCCCGCAAATACATAAATTAATAAGAATACTAAATAATTATATATAAATAATAAGTCAGTAAATAATCATTGTAATAAATAATATATTTTAAATAATAATAATAAATCAATAATAAAAATAAGTAATAACTATTCTATTTTTCATATATATATATATATATATATTATATGCATGCTCTGTTCATTTTGAGTGACATCCTAACTCATATAAATTAATCATAATATATATATATATTATTTATTACAATTATTATTTACCGACTTATTAATAAATTCATATTAATTTATGATTGTTTTATATGAAAGAATCATAAATTAATAAAACAATCATAAATTAATATGAATTTATTAATAAGTCGGTAAATAATAATTGTAATAAATAATATATTTTACATAAATATGACTGGTGTATGTTGTTGTTCATTCGTTCGGTCGTCTCCGACTCTTTGTGACCTCATGGGCCAGCCCACGCCAGAGCTCCCTGTCGGCCGTCACCACCCCCAGCTCCCTCAAGGTCAGTCCAGTCACTTCAAGGATGCCATCCATCCATCTTGCCCTTGGTCGGCCCCTCTTCCTTTTGCCTTCCACTTTCCCCAGCATATTGTCTTCTCTAGGCTTTGCTGTCTCCTCATGATGTGGCCAAAGTACTTCAACTTTTCTCTAGTATCCTTCCTCCCAGTGAGCAGTCGGGCTTTATTTCCTGGAGGATGGACTGGTTGGATCTTCTCGCGTCCAAGGCACTTTCAGAACTTTCCTCCAACACCACAGCTCAAAAGCATGGATCTTCCTTCGCTCAGCCTTCCCTAAGGTCCAGCTCTCACATCCGTAGGTGACTACAGGGAAGACCATGGCTTTGACTAGGAAGATCTTTGTTGCCAGTCTGATGTCTCTACTCTTTACTATTTTATCGAGACTGGACATTGCTCTCCTCCCAAGAAGTAAGCGTCTTCTGATTTCCTGGCCACAGTCTGCATCTGCAGTAATCTTTGCACCTAGAAATACAAAGTCTGTCACGGCCTCCAAGGTTTCTCCCTCTATTTTCCAGTTGTCAATCATTCTTGTTGCCATAATCTTGGTTTTTTTGACGTTTAGCTGCAACCCGGCTTTTTCGCTTTCTTCTTTCACCTTGATTAGAAGGCTCCTCAGCTCCTCCTCGCTTTCGGCCATCAGAGTGGTGTCATCTGCATATCTGAGGTTGTTAATGTTTCTTCCAGCAATTTTCACCCCAGCTTTGCATTCATCAAGCCCCGCACACTGCATGATGTGTTCTGCATACAAGTTAAAAAGGTTGGGTGAGAGTATGCAGCCTTGCCGTACGCCTTTCCCAATCTTGAACCAGTCTGTTGTTCCGTGGTCAGTTCTGACTGTGCTACTTGGTCCTTGTACAGATTCCTCAGGAGAGAGACAAGGTGGCTTGGGATGCCCATCCCACCAAGAACTTGCCACAATTTATTATGATCCACACAGTCAAAGGCTTTAGTCAATGAAGCAGAAGTAGATGTTTTTCTGAAACTCCCTGCCTTTCTCCATTCTCCAGCATCGGGATATTGGCAATCTGGTCTCTCGTTCCTCTGCCTTTTCTAAACCCAGCTTGAACGTCTGGCAACTCTCGCTCCATGTCTTGCTGGAGTCTTCCTTGCAGGATCTATATATATCTGTCTGTCTGTCTGTCTTATATATATATAAATGCTCTGTTCGTTTTGAGTGACATCATAACTCAAAATCTGCTGGACGAATTGCCACCAGATTTGGCCACAAGGCACCTACTAACCCAAGGAGTGACCATCACTCAAAAAAAAAAAAAGATTTTGTCTTTTGGGAGTTGTAGTTTTCCTGGGATTTATAGTTAACCACCAATCAGAGAGCATTCTGAACCCAGCCCACAATAGATCTGCATCAAATTTTGCACACAGAACTCCACCAGCATTCTGAACTCCACCAATGATGAAATTGAACCAAACATGGCATACAGGACTTCCATGACCAACAGAACACACTGGAAGGGTTTCATGGGCATTGACCTTGAGTTTGGGAGTTGTAGTTCACCTACATCCAGAGAGCACTGTGGGCTCAAACAATGATGGATCTGGACCAAACTTGATACAAGCACTCAATATGCCCAAATATGAACACAGATGGAGTTTGGAGGAAATAGACCTTGACATTTGGGATTTGTAATTACTGGGATTTATAGTTCACCTACAATCAAAGAGCATTCTGAACCCCACCAACGATGGAATTAAACCAAACTTGGCACACAGTTCTTCCATAAAACAGTGGAAGACATTCACCTTGAGTTTGGGAGTTGTAGTTCACCTACATCCAGAGAGCACTGTGGGCTCAAACAATGATGGATCTGGACCAAATTTGGTACAAACACTCAATATGCCCAAATATGAACACAGATGGAGTTTGGAGGAAATAGACCTTGACATTTGGGATTTGTAATTACTGGGATTTATAGTTCACCTACAATCAAAGAGCATTCTGAACCCCACCAACGATGGAATTAAACCAAACTTGGCACACAGTTCTTCCATGACCAACATAAAACAGTGGAAGACATTCACCTTGAGTTTGGGAGTTGTAGTTCACCAACACCCACAGAGAGCACTGTGGACTCAAACAAGGATGGATCTGGATCAGATTTGGCACAAATACTCAATATACCAATATGTGAACACTGGTGGAGTTTGGGGGAAATGGACCTTGGCATTTGGGAGTTGTAGTTGCTGGGATTTATAGTTCACCTGCAATCACAGAGCATTCTGAACCCCACCAACAATAGAATTGGGTGAAACCTCCCACACAGAACACCCATGTGGGCCACAGCAACGCGTGGCAGGGGATAGCTAGTACTATATAAAATTATACATAATAATAAATAATAGTCTATAAATAATACTCTGGCATAGGCTGGTCCATGAGGCCATGAAGACTCAGAAGTGACCAAACGAACAAACAACAACAACAAATAATACTTGTGGTCAGCAAAGAATGCATTCCAAATGTCAGAAAAAATCTCAAAAGCAAACCCAATGGAGGAAATACCACCAAGGCCATAAACTCCTGGGCCATACCTGTCAATAAGATACACTGCTGGCATCATAAACTGGATGCAGGCAGAACTGGACAATTTGGACAGAAAACAAGAAAGCCAAGAACTTGCTTTAATTGAAGTCAATAATCAGAAACTTCTCAAAGCACAGCAAACAAAGAACCAGTACAAGAAAACTGCACTATAAACCAAGTTTGTCCGTGCTTGATTTAGAGGCTGTACATTGGAATGTTTCATACCCAAAGGCACATTGCTCTTCACATTGCTTTCCCCATGTCTGATTTTTGGTTTCTTTCAGTTCCTTGCAGAACACAAACTCCTTGGGCAGATTAAAAATGTGGCCAAGACGGCCAGCAAGGACCAGCTGATCACCGCCTATAACCAGCTCTTTGAAACAAAGGTAAGGTGCCTCTCCCTTAGGAGTGTGTCTTCCTGACAGAACTGTGGGGATGTACAAGGCTCACCTACATGTGAGGCAAGGCCTTGATTTCTGTGTACATTGGAGTGGGCAGAGATGGTCCTTTGCATGTGTAGCTGGCCCTCCACATTGGCCAGCTTGACTTTTTTGGGTTCGAACTGAAGGAGAAAGGTTTACAAGAACTTTGTGATGGCCAGTCATGAAATCTGCTGCCCCCTGTGAATCCAGTGGAGTCTCCTTCCTTCTATGAAGGTTTTGCCCATCCCCTCCAAACACTCCACCTGGTCATGCCCAGCACTTTTAATTTTAATTGTTACATTTGGCCCTGCCATTGTTTTTAATTGTGTCATTGTGTGTTGTCAATGTTATTGCTTATTTTTTCTGAGTTATTTTGCTGTCTGTTGTTGCTGTTGTTTTTACTATTGTATTTGGGCTCGGCCTCTTGTAAGCCGCACCGAGTCCTTCGGGAGATGGTACCGGGGTACTAATAAAGGATTATTATTATTATTATTATTATTATTATTATTATTATTTTGAAGCAGAGGCTGAATGGCCATCTGTTGGGAGGGCTTGGGTGGTGTCTTCATTGGCAGAATTTATTTATTTATTTATTTGTTTCGGTTTCTTCTACCCCGCCCTTCTCACCCCAAAGGGGACTCAGGGCGGTTTACAAAGGCACAATTCGATGCCGGCATCATATAACAGTAGTAAACAAATAGCAGCAATTAACAATTAAACAACAGTACCTGCATTACAACAATAAAACCAATACAAATCCAATTACTCCTCATTGACGGTCAGCGTTCGCTATCTCATAGTCCAATTTCCAATTCCATTTTGCCAGTCCTGTCAGTCCTAATCGTCTGATTGTCCTTATCTAGTTGTCAGATTGCCCGACAACCACGTCTTTACTTTCCTCCTGAAGGAGAGGAGGGATGTTGATGCCCTAATTTCCCCCGGGAGTGAGTTCCACAGGTGAGGGGCCACCACTGAGAAGGCCCTGCTCCTTCTGGGCCTAACAGCAGGAGCTCACCTCGCTTCCCGGATTCAAACCGCCAACCTTTCAGTCAGCAAGTTCAGCAGCTCAGTGATTTAACCCGCTGCGCCACCAAGCACTCCTGACAACAATAACAACATTAATAATAATAATAGCCCTGTCTGGATGTTTACGTGGCTGCTGGAGACTTGGAAGGCATGGAGACTGTCTCTCCACAGACATTCCTCAGCCTGATTATAGGGATAATAACCTGGACTTGCCTCCTAGGCATGCCATGGGATGATTGCATTGAGATAATCTGACAGATTTGTCCAAAGTGTCCAAGCACACAAGAACAGCACTAATGGTGACACTAGGCTCTTTAATGGCAAGGCATTGCCTCATGCTTGTGGTGGGTGCCTTTCCCTCCCCAGAGTTTCAAGGGCAGCGAGAGCCCAGAGGAGCTGGCGGAGCAGGTGAAGAGCGTCAAGCTGGACGAAGGCAAAGCCAAAGAGGCCAAGCAGGAGGAGGCTGTTGATGAGGTGAGTCCAGAGAGAACAAGGGTGGAGGGAAGGAAGGAGAGGGATAGCAGATCCATCAAGACCAAAGAGGGCTGCTTCCAAGTTGTGGAAGTCCTTGAGGTCCAGACGTTTTGTTCAGAGCTAGTTTATTCTCAATTTGGCTGGGAAAATATATGCGTACAGTTCTTGTAGTTGTGAGGGCCGCTGTCTGGAGAGGGTGGTTGTGTTCATAGAAGTCCACAGGCTGCATAATAGTAATAATAATAATAATAATAATAATAATAATAATAATACTGCAAAAGGCCAACTTAATTGGATCTGCACACATCATTCAAAAATACATCACACAGTCCTAGACACTTGGGAAGTGTTCGACTTGTGATTTTGTGATATAAAATCCAGCATAGAGATCTCGTTTGCTGTGACATACTGGGTTTTTGTGTCAGAATAATAATAATAATAATAATAATACTTATTTATCATGTCAGAAGCAAACCAAACTGTTGTATTGCATTTTTAGCAAACAAACAGGCAAAACACAGAGTTTGCAAGCTTGGTAGTTGATCAAATGTCCTTTGACCAGTATCTGGCCACTTGGAGTGCCTCTGGTGTTGCTGCAAGAAGGTCCTCCATTGTGCATGTGGCAGGGCTCAGGGTGCATTGCAGCAGGTAGTCAGTGGTTTGCTCTTCTCCACACTCGCATGTCGTGGATTCCACTTTGTGGCCCCATTTCTGAAGGTTGGCTCTGCATCTTGTGGTGCCAGAGCGAAGTCTGTTCAGCGCCTTCCAAGTCGCCCCGTCTTCTTCTGTGTGCCCAGCGGGGAGTCTCTCATTTGGTATCAGCCACTGATTGAGGTTCTGGGTTTGAGCCTGCCACTTTTGAACTCTCGCTTGCTGAGGTGTTCCAGCGAGTGTCTCTGTAGATCTTCGAAAACTATTTCTAGATTTAAGTCATTGACGTGCTGGCTGATACCCAAACAGAGGATGAGCTGGAGATGTCACTGCCTTGGTCCTTCCACTATTGGCTGCTCCTTCCCGGCGGATGTCAGGTGGTGCAATACCGGCTAAGCAGTGTAATTTCTTGTAAGCCACTCTGAGTCCCCTTTGGGGTGAGAAGGACGGCTTCTAAAGGTCATAAATAATAAATAAATAATGGTATAGTACAATATAGTAATATATCATACTGATATTGTACTATGCTTATAATATAATATATTGTATGTATTTATATCTTGTAAGCCGCTCTGAGTCCCCTTCAGGGTAAGAAGGACGGCATATAAATGTCGTAAATAATAAATAAATAATGGTATAGTACAATACTGGACGTAATGTCAGGGGACTACCTTTACCTTTACAATATAGTAATATATAATATTGATATTGTACTATGCTAATAATGTAATATATTGTATGTATTTATATCTTGTAAGCCGCTCTGAGTCCCCTTCGTAGTGAGAAGGATGACATATAAATGTCGTAAATAAATATAAATAAATATCTATAAATCTGACTTGGTTCCATGCCTGAGTCTCCATGTCCAGAATTTGAACCCAGTGCCTTTGAAACTGTGGGGGAACGGATGTGTCAGCTTTCCAGTTCTCCCTCCCCTTCCAGGGCCCTCCCAAATACACCAAGTCGGTCCTGAAGAAGGGGGATAAAGTCAACTTCCCCAAAAAGGGCGACGTCGTCCACTGCTGGTACACGGGGAAGCTTCAGGACGGAACCGTCTTTGACAGCAACATTCAGACAAGTAAGTAAGTGCTCGGATCGGGGCCAATGGCCTTTTGGTGGGGAAGAGCTGCAGAACTGTATTTTCCCGCAGTGGTATAGCAAGCATGGGCCAACTTGGGCCCTCCCTCCAGGTGTTTTGGACTTCAACTTCCTACCGGCTGTTAGGAATTGTGGGAGTTGAAGTCCAAAACACCTGGAGGGAAGGCCAAAGTTGGCCCATGCCTGTTGTAGAATCAGGCCCAGGAAATGCAGCTGGGAAAGTGGGGACATTGAGTGGGCCAGATCTGTTGCAGGACCCTCGGCCTCACCCTCTCAAATTTCCCTTCCCAGGTTCAAAGAAGAAGAAAGCCGCCAAGCCCTTGAGCTTCAAAGTCGGCGTCGGGAAAGTCATCCGTGGCGTAAGTGTTGGCAAATGGGAGGGGTCCTTAAGCATCTTTCACAGCTTCTGCTTGCAGGGCAGCTAAAAGGAACTTGGGCTCTAAAACGGTGCACTGATGGCTAGTCTACACATCCCAACATACGTCCTGTCACATATTTAATTGTAGCTGTTTTCATATATTTTTAACTATAGTTATTAAAGCTATGCGCCACTTTGGGTCTCAGTCCCAAAACTGAAGTAGAGGAGTAGCAGTAATACTACTACTACTGCAACGACTACTACTAATGATAATATTTCTGCATGTAAACTGCTTTAAATATTGGGTTGTTGTAGGTTTTTTCGCGCTATATGGCCATGGCCTAGAGGCATTCTCTCCTGACATTTCGCCTGCATCTACGGCAAGCATCCTCAGAGGTAGTGAGATCTGTCTGAACTAGAAAAAAGGGTTTTTATATATCTGTGCTCCAGGCACTGCCAGGCAATCAAATGCTAATCAAGGTGGTCAGTTGAAACATTCACACCTAGCACCAGCAGACAGGAGTCCTTTGTCCCACCCTGGTCATTCCACAGATAGATAGATAGATAGATAGATAGATAGATAGATAGATAGATAGATAGATAGATAGATAGATAGATAGATAGATAGATAGATAGATAGATAGATAGATAGATATTGTGCCCAGAATTGGGCACAATATTCCAGGTGTGGTCTAACCAAGGTGGAATAGAGCATGGGCAGCATGACTTCCTTAGATCTAGACACTAGGCTCCTCTTGATGCAGGCCACAATCCCGTTGCCTTTTTTTGCCGCCACATCACATTGTTGGCTCATGTTTAACTTCCTGTCCACGAGGACTCCAAGATCTTTTTCCCACGTACTGCTCTTGAGCCAGGCATTGTCCCCCATTCTGTATCTTTGCATTTCGTTTTTCCTGCCTAAGTGGAGTATCTTGCATTTGTCCCTGTTGAACTTCATTTTGTTAGTTTTGGCCATTCACCTCTCCAATCTGTCAAGATGATTTTTAATCCTGCTCCTGTCCTCTGGAATATTGGCTCTCCCTCCCAATTTGGTGTCGTCTGCAAACTTGATAATTCCTTTTAACCCTTCGTCTAAGTCATTAATAAAGATGTTGAACAGGACCGGGCCCAGGACGGAACCCTGGGCCCTGGAGACTAGGACGCAATGGAACAATGGCTTTAAACTACAGGAAAGGAGATTCCATCTGAACATTAGGAAGAACTTCGTTGCTGTGAGAGCTGTTCAGCAATGGAACTCTCTGCCCCTTGTGGAGTGTGGTGGAGGCTCCTTCTTTGGAGGCTTTGAAGCAGAGGCTGGATGGCCATCTGTCGGGTGTGCTTTAAGTGCAATATCCTTGCTTCTAGGCAGAATGGGGTTGGACTGGATGGCCCACCAGGTCTCTTCCAACTCTAGGATTCTAGGATTCACAAACTCCGATGACATCTAGACATTTGATAATCCAACAATGTGGCAGCGAGTCAAATGCTTTCTTTATTATTATTATTATTATTATTATTATTATTATTATTATTATTATTATTATATGGAGTCCCTCCCATTGTTTTCCTCCCTGTTTCTCCAGTGGGATGAAGCCCTGCTGACGATGAGCAAAGGGGAGAAGGCTCACTTGGAAATCGAGCCAGAATGGGCTTACGGGAAGAAGGGGCAGCCGGATGCCAAGTATCCTTACCGAGGAGTCGGACTTAAGAAGGGGAGGGATGTGTCCCTTTCCAAATATCCTGTTAGCCACTTAAGCGGCTAAGGGGGAAAAGGAAAGGGCCTGAGGCTGTTAGGAATGGTGGGAGTTGGAGTCCAAAACACCTGGACTGTGAGAGCCGTTCAGCAGTGGAACTCTCTGCCCCGGAGTGTGGTGGAGGCTCCTTCTTTGGAAGCTTTTAAACAGGGGCTGGATGGCCATTCTGTCGGGGGTGCTTTGAATGCAATATTCCTGCTTCTTGGCAGAATGGGGTTGGACTGGATGGCCCAGGAGGTCTCTTCCAACTCTTTGATTCTAGGATTCTATGGAGGGAGGGCTAAAGTTGGCAGATTTAGAACCCTCCCAGTTCACTACTTGGCATAAAACCATGTGCTCCTTAACCCCTGAATGTCAGGATCCCACCCAACGCAAAGCTCTTCTTTGAGGTTGAGCTGGTGGACATCGAGTGACCGGTCGTGCGCCCCGCCTGATGGTGAGGAGCCCCTCGAGTCCAGAAAAGAAGACAAATGTGGCCTTGTACACTTACTTACACATTGCAATTGTGTGGGGGGGGGGCACATAATTGCAGTTTCTGTACAGTCTCTGCTGAATTAAAAGTCTTGTTTATACATGGTTTTGTTCACCCGTTCTGTGAGGCAGTAGCCAAAGCTTCCTCCTAAACCCAGATCTCAAGGGTCACTCTAGGCTAGAGCAACGTGTCAGAGTGGTTGACAAAGGCCATCGGAAAACACAGTATTTTCTCTTGGTCATGGGGATTCTGTCACCAATTCTATCGTTGGTGAGGTTCAGAATGCTCCGATTATAGGTGAACTATAAATCCCAGCAACTGCAACTCCCAAATGTCAAGGTCTATTTTCCCAAAACTCCACCAGTGTTCACATTTGGGCATATTGAGTTTTCATGCCAAGTTTGGTCCAGATCCATCATTGTTTGAGTCCACAGTGTTCTCTGGATGTAGGTGAACTACAACTCCCAAACTCAAGGGCAATGCCCACCAAGCCCTTCCAGTATTTTCTGTTGGTCATTGAAGTTGTGTGTGCCAAGTTTGGTTCAATTCCATCATTGGTGGGGTTCAGAATGCTCTGATTGTAGATGAACTATAAATCCCAGTAACTACAACTCCCAAATGTCAAGGTCTATTTTCCCCAAACTCCACCAGTGTTCACATTTGGGCATATTGAGTATCTGTGCCAAGTTTGGTCCAGATCATCATTGTTTGAGTCCACAGTGCTCTCTGGATGTAGGTGAACTACAACTCCAAAACTCAAGGTCAATGCCCACCAAACCCTTCCAGTATTTTCTGTTGGTCATGGTAGTTCTGTGTGCCAAGTTTGGTTCAATTCCATCATTGGTGGGGTTCAAAATGCTCTTTGATTGTAGGTGAACTATAAATCCCAGTAACTACAACTCCCAAATGTCAAGGTCTATTTTCCCCAAACTCCACCAGTGTTCACATTTGGGCATATTGAGTATCTGTGCCAAGTTTGGTCCAGATCGATCATTGTTTGAGTCCACAGTGCTCTCTGTATATAGGTGAACTACAACTCCCTAACTCAAGGTCAATGTCCACCAAACCCTTCTAGTGTTTTCTGTTGGTCATGGAAGTCCTGTGTGTGTCACGTTTGGTTCAATTCCATCATTGGTGGGGCTCAGAATGCTCTTTGATTGTCAGTGAACTATAACTCCAGATCTATCATTGTTTGAGTCCACAATGCTCTCTGGATACAGGTGAACTACAACTCACTAACTCAAGGTCAATGTCCACCAAACCCTTCTAGTGTTTTCTGTTGGTCATGGAAGTCCTGTGTGTGCCATGTTTGGTTCAATTCCATCATTGGTGGAGTTCCAAACCCTTCTAGTGTTTTCTGTTGGTCATGGAAGTCCTGTGTGTGCCATGTTTGGTTCAATTCCATCATTGGTGGAGTTCAGAATGCTCTTTGATTGTCTGTGAACTATAACTCCAGATCTATCATTGTTTGAGTCCACAGTGCTCTCTGGAAGTGGGTGAACTACAACTCCCTAACTCAAGGTCAATGTCTACCAAACCCTTCTAGTGTTTTCTGTTGGTCATGGAAATTGTGTGTGTGTCACATTTGGTTCAATTCCATCATTGGTGGAGTTCAGAATGCTTTTTGATTGTAGTGGAACTATACATCCCAGCAACTACAACTCCCAAATGACAAAATCAACCCCCCTCCCAACTCCACCCATATTCAAATTTGGGCATACTGGGTATTAGTGCCAAATTTTGTCCATTGTATTGTCGAAGGCTTTCATGGCTGGAATCACTAGGTTCTTGTGGGTTTTTCCGGGCTATAGGGCCATGCTCTAGAGGCATTTCTCCTGACGTTTCGCCTGCATCTATGGCAAGTATCCCTACCTCTGAGGATGCTTGCCATAGATGCAGGCGAAACGTCAGGAGAAATGCCTCTAGAGCATGGCCCTATAGCCCGGAAAAACCCACAAGAACCTATTTGTCCATTGTATTGTTTGCATTTTCGATTCAAGAGGGGCCTTTCCGTTTCGTGCCATCCGAACGGACGAAACAAACACAAAACTAATGGGACGAATTTCAGGACCATGCCTAGTCCTCAACTGTTTTGGCCTACAACTCCCAGAAATCCCAGCTGTTAGGATTTCTGGGAGTTGAAGGTCAAAACACGTGGTGACCCACAGGTTGAGGACCCCAGATCTAGGGGTCTGGAGGTGGGGAAATGGCTCTAACAAGCAGCAGAGAATTAAACCCAAGGGACAACTCTGGAGGAGCCTCAGCAGAAAGAAGTAAACTTCCTATTTTTACACAATTTCATTTTTTTATTACAAAAAAGAAAAGGCATTTGAACAAAAAAAAATACGTCTGAATGTACACATGAAAAAAAACAACCCAATACAAAAATCTCCACCCCAAACACAGCATGGTTCTAGCCACACGCTTCATGTCGTTGGTTCATGGGAAGGAGAAGAGAGAGCTCACAGCTTTCAGGGCTGGCCGCCTTCGCGCGGCCGCAAAGGAGCCCAGCGGCTTGAAGTGCGGAGGACGTTTCCTTCAGAGCGGAAGACGGAGGGGGGCTGAGATCCGGGGTTTATTTTGGGAGGGGGAAAGGGGGGCTTCACGTCGTCCCGAACGGGAACCAAGAATTCATCCGTCCATTTCATTTCTGGGCAATTTAGGGGGAGCCGAATTCCTGGCAAACGGGGGGCACAGCAACATACCAATGAGCACATCGTGAGTCTGTCACAAGGAGACCCCCCGCGGGCGGCCCCTCATTGCACATGCAGAGAGACGTGGGGGCCACGGAAGGGGCGGGGTCACATCCATCATCCCCCATTCATTCGTTCCTTGTTCTAAAAAGTAACAAAACACTTCACACTCCTCGCCTCTGCCCCCACGCGGCTTCCCATCAGGTGGAGGAGGCCTGGTAATATTGTCCGTAATTCCAAGCGTTTGGGTAGTTGTACTACGAGGAGGAGGAGAAGGAGAAAAAGGGAGGAAATTAATTAATTAATGTCCCTAAATGCACTTTATTAGTGACCTAGGATTGTCTGCACACCCCATCCCTTTCCGAAAACTCTATCCTCGTCATATTTCACCTGATCGTGCTCAGTATTATTTTTAAATTTTAATTATTACATTTGGCCCAGCAATAGGTTTTTAAACGTCGTGGTATTGTTAATGTTTATTGCTTATCTTCTGTTATGAGTTTTATTTTATTGTTTTGTATTACTGTTGTTATTGCTTTTATTACTGATGTATTGTGGGCTCGGCCTCATGTAGGCTGCACTGAGTCCCTTGGGGAGATGGTGGCAGGGTATAAATAAAGTATTATTATTAGTATTATTTTATTTATTATTTTATTATTTTTTATTATTTTATTTTATTTTTATAATTTTATTATTTATTATTATTGGCCTGTCATTGAACATTGAAAAAACCAAGGTTCTGTTCCAGCAGGCACCAGCCAACCCCTCTCCAATGCCAGTGATACAGCTTAATGGTGTAACATTAGACAATGTGGACCATTTCCGCTCCCTTGGCAGCCACCTCTCCACCAAAGTCAACATCGACACTGAAATACAACACCGCCTGAGCTCTGCGAGCGCAGCATTTTTCCAAATGAAGCAGAAAGTGTTTGAGGACCGGGGCATCCGTAGGGAGACCAAGGTGCTTGTCTATAAAGCTATTCCTCTCCCAACCCTGCTCTATGCCTGCGAGACGTGGACTGTCTACAGACGTCACATGCAACTCCTGGAATGATTCCATCAGCGCTGCCTCCGGAAAATCCTGCAAATCTCTTGGGAAGACAGGCGGGGAAACATCAGCATGTTGGAAGAAGCAAAGACCACCAGCATTGAAGCGATGGTTCTCCGTCATCAACTCCACTGGACTGGCCACGTTGTCCAGATGCCTGACCACCGTCTCCCAAAGCAGTTGCTCTACTCTGAACTCAAGAATGGAAAACGGAATGTTGGAGGGCAGGAAAAGAGATTTAAAGATGGGCTCAAAGCCAACCTTACAAACTCTGGCATAGACACTGAGAACTGGGAAGCCCTGGCCCTTGAGCACTACAGTTGGAGGTCAGCTGTGACCAGCAGTGCTGCAGAACTTGAGGAGGCACGAATGGAGGGCGAAAGGGAGAAGCGCGCCAAGAGGAAGGCGCATCAAGCCAACCCTGGCCGAGACCGCCTTCCACCTGGAAACCAATGCCCTCACTGCGGAAGAAGATGCAGAGCAAGAATAGGGCTCCACAGCCACATATGGACCCACAAGAATATTGGAGGACAATCATCCTCGGAAAACGAGGGATCGCCTAAGTAAGTAAGTATTTTTTATTATTATTCATTAATTCAATTTATTTATTTGTTTATTATTTTTATTTTTTATTATTCATTAATTCAATTTATTTATTTATTTATTTATTCAATTTATTCATTTATTTATTCAATTTATTTATTCATTCATTTATTTATGGCATTTGTATCCCATGATTTTACAGCTACTGGGAAGAGCAAAATGCCTGCCAAGTAGCTATAACATCCTGGCAAATAGGTAAAAAGGTAAAGGTTTTCCCCTGACATTAACTCCAATCGTGTCCAACTCTGGGACTCTGGTGCTCATCTCCATTTCTACGACGACGAGCCGGCGTTGTCCATAGGCACCTCCAAGGTCATGTGGCCACTGGCATGACTGCATGGAGCGCCGTTACCTTCCCGCTGAAGCAGTACCTATTGATCTACACACATTTGCATGTTTTAAAACTGCTAGGTTGGCAGAAGCTGGGGCTGACAGTGGAAGCTCACACCGCTCCCTGGATTTGAACCTGCAACCTTTCGGTCAACAAGTTTAGCAGCTTAACCCACTTTGCCACTGAGGGCTCCTGGCAAATAGGTCGCTCTTATTCAGGAAGCAAGAATGGATTGCACACCTATTTGCGAGGCCTGGATCCTTTTCAGTCCCACCCTAGGATAAAAACCATCCCAG